AAGGCAAGCGAGCACGCGGGACCGAGAGTCAACGCTTAAGGAAAAGATGCTAACATCTAGAAACGGGAGAATGCCTCCCTGTCGCCTCTTCGCGAGTAATTTGGATAGCTGGGAAGACGCTATTCAGACTCAAATGAAATTGTTCAATTTCGCGGGTCTTCATGATAACAAACGTATCATTTACATATCGAAGCCACATTTTCGGTTTAAAGGTTCGCATAACTTCCTCTTCTAGTTGTTGTAGTACGAGTTCAGCTAGTAGACCGGATATTGGCGATCCCATTGGTGTACCCCTAACCTGTTGATAAAACTTTTCATCGAATTATCAGTAGTTATTGAGACAGAGTTAAAGCATCTCTGAAACGTGTTGTGTTGGGATGCTGGTTGGAGTATCTTGCAGGCGTCGGGTTACGCTGTCAATCGCCATGTCATGTGGTATTGAGGAAAATAGGTCAACCACATCAAACGATAGAATACACTCATCGGGACTTACTTTGAGGCCTTGGATCTTCTGGAGAAATGCCTGAGAGTTTTTGATGCTATTTTGTGAGCCATTGGCGAGGTGCTTCAGGTGCCTGTATAACCATTTAGCGATGTTGTAGATGAGCGATCCAATAAGCGGCACTATGATCCTCAATGGCGCACCTTCTTTGTGCACTTTTGGGAGGCCATATGCATGAGCTATTCGGGGGTCGTTGAGAATCATGCGCTTGGAATCATTGGTGGTTATCAGTTTCAGTCGAGTGAGCTCATTCACCTTCTTTTTTACAGCCGCGGCTTGCTTTTTAGTCGGGTCCTCCGCGAGTGGTGCGTAGGCTTCCCTGTCGTTAAAGACTTGGTTCGCCTTGTTGACGTAATCACTCTTTTCCATGATGACTGTCGCGCCACCTTTGTCAGCAGACACAATCACTGTACTGTCGTCTGTCTTAAGAGAGTGTAACCCCTTTTCTTTATCGATAGGCCAGACGTGGTGGTGCTTCTTTTGTCGAAGTAGGCCAGTGGCACAGCTTCGTATGTCCGCGCGCCTGTATTCAGGCAGAGCAGAGGTCAGTAAAGTAGATTCAAGGTTCGGTAGGAAGTTTGTGGGCGCAGCATCAGTGTGGCTGAATTTCGTTCCCTTAGATAGTAGGCTCAGTTCAGCGGATGTTAGACTCCTTTTAGAAGGGTTAACAACTCTTGTCGACCTGTTGATTTCGTTCACAGGGCGAAGAAGGGATTGCAGTTTCACTCGAAGATCGGCTCGCTTTTTCATCCTGGCGTCTAAAGCGGTGGCATTTATTTGTTGTAGCACGTCTCCGAACACATTTTCAGGCAATGCTGAGATACACTGGCTTCGGAGGTCGGATATTGTTGCATCGAATCTGCAAAGACGACGGTGGACGTCTGATATGATAGCACTCAAAACGCGAAATCCATATTTGCGTGCAAGTAACCTCCCGGTCTCATTCGCTAGGGTGGGCTTGAAAGGAAGAGACTTCGGTAGGATGCCATGATCGCGACATCGATGAAGGAACGTCAGCTGTTCGTAAGTTGTAGCCTGCCTCTGTGCAAATTTCTCCCAACGTCTGGTAAGAATAAGCGTTTGACGCCCAAAAATATGTTGAATAGCTGAGGTAGTGTGCATTCCGAGATAATATGATGAAGACAGAAGGCTCGTCGGAAAAAAATCGAGTTGCACTCGCGAATTTTCAAGCTGGTGGCACCAACCCGGCTGAATTTGTTTATTAAAACTCTCGCGGATAAATTACTATCATATCAATAAAAAAGTCGCTAAGATGCGTAAACAGAATCTAGGACATTTATTAGCATAGAAAATTGCACGAATATATTCCAACGTCCATTTTCGCTAAAATTTACTGATATTTTACTTGATATAATTACGTAAACACAATTTCTGCAAAAGAAAAGGACACTTTTTAAAGAGGTGAATGAGCGAAAAAAATACTCAACGTTAAAGGCGTCCAGCAATCCTCTCATCAGTTTTCGTTATCTGATTTCATGAGATAGGTCACGTACTGTTTATCATGCGCCGTTGTGTGCCTGCTGGTTGGGCTTGAGAGAGAGTCCATATGGCACAACGGAACGTGTCAGTTCCGTAAGAAAGATCAGTGAGCGCCCCCTACCATTATATATATACGCTCCTATCAGAAATATATATCAATCAGGAATGGGCGCACACCGATCTATTGGCTTCACAAAGCAAACAAGCTCCGTATGTGTGGCAAAGGTCACGAACAGGCAACCAATTACCAGGCCGAAGTCGGCCAAGTCATAATAGCAGCGAGGAGGGACAGGTGGCGAGGCACTGATGAACTTCGGTTCGATGAAGTGCTTATGACCCATCTGGTAGGCCTCAGTGGTGGACCGACTGCGCCAGGTGCGTCTGTGCGCATGTTTGTGTTTCAGGTCCCAGCTGCTGGTGGTCAGGGTTATGATTGGCTGAATGAAGGCAGAATAAGCCCGAAACAGTGCTGTATCAATCTACCCGCATTCTCTGTCGTCCCTCCTCGCTGATATATATATATATATATATATGCTGATAGAAGCGAAGATGCGCGTCCCCGGACATAAATGAGAAGAAGAGACGATCTCGGGAACCATAGTTGTATTGTCCTGACGTTTCAAAAGCAGACAAGCTTTCATCGTCGGAGGTGAGTTTTGTACCACGCCTCACAGTATTTATAGGTGGTGATGGTCCCCTTTCAACGGGTTTAGCTCTCGTCATGGNAACACGGGTCTGGAGTCGTTTACCGGTCTCCCCAATATAGTTTATCTCGCAGGAGCTGCATTGGATCCGATAAATCACGTTTGTTGTTTCACCGGGTGGCAGCGGGGTCTTGGGTCTCATTACCAGATGCCGGATTGTTGATTCTGGCCGATGGGCAATTCCGATTCCCAGTGGCCTTAGGAGACGGGAGACCGCCTCAGAGACGCCGTCAATGTAAGGAAGGGCTCGCCAGACTTTTGGTCGTTCTGTCACTGGGCTTAGGCTTGGCGCAGGCTGCCTGTTGCGTTCTATAAAATTTCGAGGATAACCGTTCGCCATGAAGAGGCGCTGAAGGTGGCGTAGTTCCGACCTTTTGTCGTCTGGCTCGCTGCAGTGTGTATCTGCCCTTTTGTATAGTGTGCGTACACAGCTGCGTTTGTGGGACAACGGGTGCTTGCTGTGGTAGCTCAGGATTTGGCGCGTATTGGCGGCCTTCCTATACACCGTTGTTTTCAGGTGTCCATTTGGGTTACGGTGAACCAGTACGTCTAGGAACGGTAGTTCGTTGTTGCTTTCGGCCTCCATTGTGAATTGAATATCAGGCGAAACCGAATTGAGGACATTGTGAAAGGTTTGAACCATTTCCCGCTTGATGATGACAAAGGTATCATCAACATATCGAGCCCAAAATTTTGGCCTGTAGGTCTCGAAGACTTTGGTCTCTACCTTTTGAAGAACTGCTTCTGCTATGAAGCCTGAAAGCGGCGATCCCATCGGCGTCCCCTTGGTCTGTTCGTACACCCTCCCGTCGAAGGTAAAGAACGTCTTCAGGCAGAATTTCAGCAGTTGAATGAGATGAGTCCGTTTCACACTTTCTTCCGTCTCGTCGTACTTGCATTCGAGCAGTTCGCTAACCGTTTGGACTGCTAGGCATTGCGGGATCGAAGTGAAGAGTGCGGTGACATCGAATGACACCATGACCTCGTCTTCGCTGAGTCGGATGCCTTTGAGCCGTTCTAGGAACTGAGCCGCTGAACAGACGGTCGTGGCTGCGTTCGAGGTGAGAGACCTCAGTTTGCGGAATAGCCATTTTGCCAGATTATATGTAGGTGTACCGCGCAATGAAACGATTGGCCGGAGCGGGAGACCGGGTTTGTGTACCTTCGGTAGGCCATAGAAACGTGCTGGAGCCGCATCTGTCGGCTTAATGGTCAGCCGTACCGATTTGCTTATTGCTTTCTTTGATTGCATGTCGGTGAGCGTCTTCTCCAGTTGCGTCACTAACGTCTTTATCGATTCCTCACCACATGGGAGGTACGCCTGTCGGTCCTCCAGTAGAGCGTTGGCCTTCTGAGCGTAATCTGTCTTATCCAGCACTACTGTGGAACGGCCTTTGTCTGCCGGTAGTATTACAATGCTGGTATCATTCCTAAGTGCCTTGAGAGCGCTCTGCTCCGCTTTGGTAATAATGGCACGTGGTTTGTGCGCCATCACCAAGGAGGTAACCTGTTGCCGAATGAGATGCGTTGTCTCGTCCGGTTCCCCGGTTTGTTTGAGGATCGACTCGACCGTGGCCACGAGATTGACCGGATCGGCGTCTGCGGTGTTGAAGCAAGCTTCGTGACTCAGTACTTTCAATTGTGCAGGAGTCAGCTGTTTTGGCGAAGGTGCGATCGCCACAACAGTCGCGACACCCACTTGTCCAGCCGGTGAGAAAACGGACGTTCGCAGTAACATAAGCGGACCCGACGAAGGTGCCAGCGTCACTGCCACTTATCCGGCAGGTGAGAACGTAGGCTGTCGCGGGGCCTTAAAGAAGATTGCCAGCCGAGTACGAGAACTAACATCCACGGGGGACACAAACGCAGCTGCACTTCAACTTGGATCTGGCGAAGGCGCGATCGTCACAACAGTCGCGACACCCACTTGTCCGGCAGGTGAGAAAACGGACGGTCGCAGTAGCAGAAACGGACCTGAAGAAGGTGCCAGTGTCACTGCCACTCATCCGGCAGGTGAGAACACAGGCCGTCACGAGGTCGCAAAGAAGATTGCCAGCCTAGGACGAGAAGTACGATCCATGCGAACACGTGCGATGACGGCTAGCGCCCGAACGCCGGCCCATGACGAGAGCTAAACCCGTTGAAAGGGGACCATCACCACCTATAAATACTGTGAGGCGTGGTACAAAACTCACCTCCGACGATGAAAGCTTGTCTGCTTTTGAAACGTCAGGACAATACAACTATGGTTCCCGAGATCGCCTCTTCTTCTCATTTATGTCCGGGGACTCGAATCTTCGCTTCTATTAGCAATATATATATATATATATACATCGCGTTTATCATCTCCCGAAGAAGACGAAGAATTAGCGAGGGCGAATTCATGGACCATATTGTATTCGAACTGACGTTTCGGAAACTTCCGCGTTTCCATCATCAGAGTAGCGTAATTGTTGCACTTGCCGGTCTTGAGTTGTTCAGTCTTGCCGCTTGCCTCGTATTATAGCCGTGCTGGACGCACGAACTTTGACCTGCCTGTTTGCCGCTGACTGGCTTAGACCTCCCAGGGGATGACCGCTGACAGGCCTGCGTGACCTGCGTCATAGGATGACGCGAAGTTCAACACAAGAGATGCTCGACCAGAAGACTTTATTGCATCCTTTGAATCGGCGCTCCAGAAGTGTGAGGCAGGCGAGGAGTGCAAAAACGTCATGCGACAACAAGTGTCGACCTTACTCCTCCAACACAAACGCCAGATGACGATTTCTAAAGCAGAAGATCGAGAACTTCTGAAGATACGAAAAAGGAAGGATATCGTCACCCTGCCCGCCGACAAGGGGCGCTCGACTGTCGTCATGGATAAGGCTGAGTACTGCACAAAACTAGGCAACCTCTTGATGGACAAGGAAGCTTATGTGCCATCGACCGTCAGCGAGTTTAAAAAGCTCGTAAACAGCATAAACAATACGATCGGCAAGCTGAGGAAGGCGGAAGCTCTTACGAGAAGGGAGGCGTTGGCTGCAAAAGCCAGTGATACCGCGATGGCGCGCTTCTACGGCCTACCAAAGGTCCACAAGCAGGGGGTACCGCTACGCCCCATCGTCTCCTTACGTGGTACTCCAACCTTTGGGCTGTCAAAGTGGCTGTACCAGCGACTTTGTTTCCTTACCAAGGATTCGCAGTGGACAGCGAAGTCGGCTGAAGAGTTCTTGACGCGCATCAAACATCTCGAAGTGGAGGCAGATGAGGTGATGGTGTCATTTGACGTGATCTCATTATTCACCTCCATCCCACCCGCGCTGGCTATCGACACTATTGATGGCTTTCTCCGGGAAAAGTATGATGAAACCGACCAACAGCTCAAACGAGCACACATCATCGAGCTCCTAGAACTGTGTCTTAAGACCTTCTTTACATTCAACGGCCAAGTCTACGAGCAAAAGAAGGGGACACCGATGGGCTCGTCTCTGTCTGGACTAATTGCCAAAGCAGTTTTGCAGCGACTCGAGCAGCAGGTCTTCAGCTCGTACCCCCCGAAGTTCTGGGCTAGATACGTCGACGACACGTTCGTTGTAATCAAGAGGAGCTAGGTGAAGGCTTTCAAGGCATTGTTGAACTCCATCTTTCCCGATATTCAGTTTACTATGGAAGAGGAAGTCAACAATCAGTTGCCCTTCCTGGACGTACAAGTTACGAGATTGACAGACGGGAAGATAAGGACAACGGTTTACCGTAAGGCAACAAATACCAGGCGCATCCTCCACTTCCGAAGCAACCACCCTGTTGGTCATAAACGCAGTTGTGTCAGAACTCTCTTTCAACGTGTTCAAACACACTGTAGCGACGACAATGGGAGGAAGGCGGAGATGAATTACTTACAGGGCCTTCTTAAAGCCAACGGCTACCTGAAGCCCTTCATACGCAATTGCCTCAAAAAGCCTCATTTTGAGCGGTCGAGTGGAGAAAAGCCCAAGTTCTGGCTCTCAATATCCTATGCGAAGAAGTATCAGAGGCAACGGCAAGAATCCTGAAACATTTTGGGATTGGCGTGGCTCATAAACCAGAATGCACCATCAGACAGCAAATCATGAAGCCCAAAGACCCGCTACCAACAACAGAACAATCGGCGGTGGTCTACAGCATACCATGCCTAAATTGCAATGCAAAGTATGTTGGTGAAACAGGCAAACACCTCGGTACAAGATTGCACGAACACCAACTTGCAATCAACCGCAAGGACAAGCTGTCTTTGGTATATAGCCACATACGAGAACTGAACCACAATTTTGCCTTTGAGAAGGCGGGGGTAATTGGTCGAGCCAATGAGAAGGTGGCCAGACTGGTGCTCGAAAGTTGGTCCTCGACTGGTACACTCAACCGAGTTATAGATCTACATCCCGCCTACCAGGCGCCGCGTACAAGGCTCGGATCAGTCCGGACAAGACCAGTAAGGCAAGCGAGCACGCGGGACCGAGAGCCAACGCTCACGGAAAAGAGCAGAATTGGGGGCCAGAGGTCATGTGACAAAAGCCGAACACTGTCTCCCCGATGCGCCCGCGAAGCTGAATGCTGCTCACCTGAACAGCAACGACCGATCAGTCCACCGGCTGACGTGGGAGAGGCCAAGCGGCACGTTGATTTGACCACAATTACGCCGACCCCAAAGGTCACGCAGGCCTGTGAGCGGTCAGCCCCTGGGAGGTCTAAGCCAGTCAGCGGTAAACAGGCAGGTCAAAGTTCGTGCGTCCAGCACGGCTATAATACGAGGCAAGCGGCAAGACAGAACAACTCAAGACCGGCAAGTGCAACAATTACGCTACTCTGATGATGGAAACGCGGAAGTTTCCGAAACGTCAGTTCGAATACAATATGGTCCATGAATTCGCCCTCTCTAATTCTTCGTCTTCTTCGGGAGATGATGAACGCGATACAATGTCTGGACCGCGAATCTTTACGCGTATCTATGTATATATATATATATATATGAAAAATAGGGGTGTAGGGGTGTCAGCGGTGGGTTCACGTAATGGTCGTGGTGGTCGCTCACTTGCTTGCAGGTGAGACTGCGCCTAGCGTCCACTTGCTGGCACTCAACTCTCACCTGTGGCTCCACGTAGCTGGGCTCTGCTCAGCGGCCACACCCCGGGCAACCGTCTCGACCGGCGGGCTAAACCAGGTGAGGGGGCCCTGTGCGCTGTGCCGTGTGCACAGGGTTTGCGGATTCCGCTGGATGGAAGGTCGGATGGAACCTTGCGTCGGCACCGTCGTGACGTGGTTCGTCTCTGCACGCCGCTGGACAGCCGGTGACGGGATGGATCTCCACATCGACACCGCCTTGACGCGCCCACCTTCGCCGACGTAGACCGCGGCTTACGGCGAATTCGAGTCGCTCTCCACTACAACCCGAAGTCGTGGTCCCATAGTGGAGTTCGGCCGTGCCACAACGGCACATGGCAGCCCTATTCAGGGATGGCACTGCCAGCCCCCACGAGGGGAAGGGCCTAGAAAAGGTGGCCTAAACATTGCTGGGTACCACGCCGTCTCCAGGCTAGCCGGGGCCGCAGACGTCTAAACATGGTCGAAACAATCAAAATCGAAACAACAACAATACCAATAACAACAACAACAACCATACTCATTCTCCTCATCCTACCTCTTCTTCCTCTACCTCGGTCTATTCTTCTGTCTATTCTTCTCCTTCGTCATCTTCTTCTCCATCTCCTTCCCGTCGCCCCACTCGTTGTCACCAGACTGGCAGGGTGAGCGCGCTCACTCTGGCA